TCTCCATGTGGCCTCAGGACCAGGACATTTGTCCTGAGAAACTCATTGTCTGTTTCTTCCAGACTCTGTGAATATGTAAATGAGCCTGTCTTAATCATCTTATGGTCCTCTAATAATTGTGACCCACATGCAACCAGTCAATAACGTATCATGGGCCTCATTTTTTAAGTTTTCTCTTTATCTTATTGGCAGTATATTCCCTTGGAATCTATTCTGATATTATTACTGATACATTTTAATATTATGTGCATATTTTTGTAAGTAATTTTTTAATAATTTTTGGAACTATAAATTATTATAAATTGAATAATGGATTTGTAAGCCTATTGATAGTGGGAAGCTGTTCAAGGGCTTAAGCCTTCACATTTTTAAGTTATAAGGATGTTAGACTTTGCTTTAATCACTAATGCCAGCATTGGGAAATATAAAAAAAATTAATCTACTTTATGGTCTTCCATAATGTTTGTAAAAACCCTGACATTACCAACCAGACAGTTTTGATGTTGCAGGTACTTTATTCTGTACTTTGAAATCAAAATATTTTATATGACATTATATATTTATTATTTTTCCTTGAGAAAGTATCCCTAGCACAATTTGTTAGTCCAGTTCAGTCTCTTTCCTACAGAGCATAATTACTTTCCAACATTTTTGTGCATTGTGTTCTATAGTTGGAATCTTAACTACTGGTTATAATTTTCCTGTATTAATCATTTTCCTCATGAGTATCATCCACTCTAATGCCCTTCTCACATTTTTATTGATTCTTTTTAGGTATACATGACAGTAAAATCCATTTTGATATAATTATATAAGCATAGAATATATATTATTTTAATTCAGGTCCCGGTCTTGTGGATGTACATGATGGTGAGATTCACTATGGTGGATTCATATTATGTACATAGGAAAATTATGTCAGGTTCATGCCACTCTTTCCTTTTCCTATCCTCCCTCCCAGTTGTGCTTCTTCTATTTAACTATTCAAACTATTTGATTTTTTATCCCAGTTTTTTCCTTTCCCTCACATTTTAATTTATTAATGTATCATCCTTCTGTATCTGTGGTCTTCTAAAATGTGTTGCTTTTGTGTAAAACTCGAACTGTAACACAGAAGTAGAAAACAATGCTTCGTGCATAATGCACTTCATTTAACATGCTCTTAAAGACCTTCCGACAACACTCTACGTCTAGCCAGTGTCTGGCCTCTACACAGGACCCTACAGTGTGCATCTACCACATTTCACTAAACCGGTAACGTGTTTATCACAGGGTAAGCATATCAGATATGCTTATAGCACCTCGTGACCATTAAATTGTTGTGACAAACAGCATTGTATGTTCCATCGTGGAACTGTGGAGACATTATGTTCAGAAGTGGGACTTCAAGCACAACATGTACATACTTAGATAAGACACTGCCACAAGCTCTCCCTAATCACTTCACCACAGCAATGCAGGAGGAGTCCAACTATTGCCCATTCCTTCATACACTGGGTTTCTCTGGATTTCTGATTTTCCCAATTGGTAATGTAAAATAACACTTTCTTTTAATTTTCACTTCTCTAATGACTAGTGCATTTGAGTATCATTTATATACTTTCATCTTTAGGGGTTTTCATCTCTGAGTGGGTTATTCACATACTTTGTTTATTTTGTAAATTTTGAATCTTCTTATTAATGCTTGTGCAAAATTATCTTTTCATCCTTCAAAACACTGACAGAATATATAATGCCTTAATATAACTGAAGAAAAGAATAAGGAACCTTTTCAAAATCACTCACTTCCTCAGGAGCATAACCACCACTTTTGTTCCTGGTCAGTGGTTTGACAAAAATTCATGAAATGTCCCAGAGAGGGGCCAATCCACATGCCACAGTTAAAACCAAAGCAGTATAAAAGTTGAAAAAGATAGAGACTTGTATTTAAAAAATAAAATAAAAGAGATATGTTTTAAGAAATAGCCAACTTCAGGAAGAAAGTGGGAGGAAGAAGGATGTAAAAGGATGTTGCTACCAAAAGTAGAGATCAGCTGAGTCCCCTGACGTCTGTGTGCATCTAGCAGGATGATGTCAGTCTCCAGCAAGAGGACACCCAACTTGACGACCTGAGAAACCTCAAGGAAGCATATTGGCCAATAGGACTGAGAAATCCAGGGTCATGCAGGTTTGCTTACAGTGGTCAGGACTCTCCTGTGAGTTTGTTTCCTCTAACTTCTGGTCTGTATGATTTCATCCTTAGATTTGTTTCTCACGTGCTGAAAAATGACTTGGGGAAATTCTACCCAGCATGATAACATCCAAAACAAGAAAGAGCATCTCTTTCCCCCACCATCAAATGTGAAAATCGGGCAGCACATGAACTTAGCGATGCACATTAGGACAGGTGCATACACTGCCTCACCCCTTCGAGAAAATGTAAATGGGTCTCTGGTGTTTGGCTTGATTTATAGATTACCAGTGTCCTTTAGCCTGTCATATTGGGACCTCGTGATTGTCTTGTGCTGATCATTGGTGCTGAGTGAAGTCAATCAACTGAAACCCCATTGCTGCCATACAATGTGAGACAGTGGACTGGAAGCTACATGGTTTGTAGCCAGTCATGTCCAATCCAATTAAAAAGACTTCAGCTGTCCCAGCGTTTATCGTCCCCCTCCCATCTTTTTACCTTTTCCTCTGCACTCATAACAACTTCTTTTTCCGATTATTGTCCTGTACTTTGGAACTACTCTCAGTTTTCAGTAGGTATATTTTTCATACAACTAGTAAGAGTTAGATGCGTGATGAAGGAAGGACAAGGGAATGCATCAATGAATGTTTCTGGAGGAAATCCACAGGGAGTTTTCTTAGGTGTGCTGTCACCTGTTCCTGGTCCCTCTGTATGTTCCCCTTGCCCTGGACTCCATTTTCTCAGCTTCCTAAATGAAATAAGGCTAAGTCCCTTTCCCCCAGTTCATCTCAACTAATTCTTCCAGGAAGCGAAGAAAGCAACAATGAAAATAATAAACTGCACAATCAAATTGGGTAAGCAAAATTTTCAAGCTCAAAACACAGTGATGATTTTTTTTCCTTCCAATACTTTAAACTCAATATGCACCTGCTGCTTAGTGAATGTACAGTAGGTGCCTAAGGACTGTTTGTTGAATAATAAAAATACTCTATGATTTTTAAAGTATTGAAGTATAGTCATGGAGGTCTTGACTCACTAACAGTCGAGGTCATTAGTACATCCCCATTAGTCAGGACTTCTGAATTTCTCTACCTGTGGATATTTGTAACCCTGCAGTAAGTACTCAGAGTGCTTTTGTGGTCATTCATGGATATGTACAGAGTGGTACAAAATGGGAGTCAAATGAAGAACACATTCCCTATGAAAGCCAAAAAACTTGATGCTCTGTCTTCAGATTTCACTTCTGAAATCTGGATGAGCATTCTTTGTGTGGTCTACCAAGTGCCATGTTTTTCACACTTTTGTGCTTTTTGTTACTGATTTTGCCAAGTAAAATGATGCCAAACACATCTCTAAAATGCTACCTAATTTCTTAAACTGAAAAGGCTCTGATGTGTATCACAGAAAAAAATATGTGTTTTAGATAAGCCTTGTCAGTGTTATAATGCTGTTGCCTGAGAGTTCTATGTTAATGAGTAAACAATGCAATACACTGGAAAAAGAAAGATGAAATTTGAGGATTAGTAGGTGAAACTAGTTTGTAAAGTAACTTCTATAATGCTACGATAAAGCTATAACAAAAACTAAAATTGAGGTTTCTTGAAATGACAATAGATTATTTTACATATGGTAGATATTGTTGTAAGAAGTTTGAAAGCCAAGGAAATTTATGATAACATTATTCAGGGTCACTTCTCAAATAATCATGCAATTTACAGTAGTAAAGATATATTAAGTAATATTTTCAAACAAAATACACAAAAACAAGGTTATGTATTCATCAGTTAACAAAAATATTGTGAACAGAAACTCAAAGGAACCTAACCCTCTATTTACCCTAGGAGCATGGCTCAGGGTTCACTAAGGAAGCATTTGCAGCTGTAACTGTAGAGAACATAACTGCTGAGAATGCACCTTACTCACCTGCACCTACTTCAGCCCTGAAGAACATCATTTTGACTCCTCACTTTTTATTCTCTCTTCAGTGATGCCCTTGGGCCATATTTCAGGTATCACCACCATGAGGTGCCTCTCAACCTTCAATGCATCGATCCGTCTTCTGATGATTCTGTTAAAATGAAATTATAATTCAGGCCACAGAGTCTACATAGCTACCAAACTCCATTGTAATCAATCTGCTGTTTGACCATAAACCACACAGAATATGGAAGACCTTCATCCTTCCCTGATCTTTCAGTTTAGAGCACTTGGAACAACAGTTTCACACTAATACTTCCCTAAATGAATAACAGAATCAGTAAGAGGCAACATTGTATTTATTCTCAGAGGCTCAGAGAAAAACTGTAGAATTAGGAAAACATAAAATCCCTTGGCCAAGCAAGACTTGAAGTCGGGCATGAAATGTCTCAACTACAACTCAGGTGGCACAAAGGCAGAGAATTTAAAAAGAAAAAAAACTGCAAACATTACATAAATTCCATACAAGTTTTTATTGAGAACATGTTACATGCAGGCCAGACACTTCACCAGGGATACAGATAATTCAAAAGCACATACTTTGCTCTCAATGTTCTAAAAACTGAAAGAAAGAAACAAAGCTACACAACTGCCACAGAAGTGGGCAGTGAGGGGTACAGTTGACATGTGGGGATGCAGAGATGGAGGGGAGATGGCTCCCCACTGTGGATCAAGGAAGGACCCCTGGAGGATGTGACACCTAGAATCCTTCTGATGATCCACTATATCTAACCCAGCAGAGGTTGCTAGGTTCCTGTTCCATTCACAGGTAAAGTTTCAGCCCAGGTCTGAACACACATCCTGCAAGATTACATTGAGCATATATTGGTAACTGAACATGAACCAGGTAAATTACAAAGGTTTCACAAGGACAGTTGAAGTGATGTCATCACCACGTGGTGTCCAGGTGTAGACTGGGCACCTGGGTAGCTGGGTCCTCACTTCAAAGGGACAGCACTGCAGGGAGCTTCACAGTGTGTCCTACGTGAACCAAATGAGAACAGAGAAATAACAGACCTTCATGAGGTGGAGGTGAGAATAGAGGAGAAAGTGGGAGTAGGGCTGAGAGGAGAAGGAAAGTGAGGAAAAAGTCAAAAAAGAAGGGAAGACCATGGGGAGGAGGGACAAACAGAACAGATGGATACAAAGAACTCACCAGCGTTTCCTAAACCAAAATCCAAGACCTGTCAGAAGAGCCAGGGCCACTGTCACAGCCAAGAGGATCCAGCCCAGGGCTCTAGGAGGTGCTGCAGATTCAAGGGGACACCAGGACGTTGTTTCCAATCCATTCCCTGTTTACCCCTCACACTCCCTGTTTGCTGCATTAACTATTTTCTTTCAGTTTCTACTGCACCAATCATTCCTACTATTTTATTCTTATCCCTTTTCAGAGAGGAATCCTTCTTCTATCCTACATCTTTCTGCATCTACAGATCCCTCATATTTAATTCTTCCATTCCTTGGAATAAAATATTTGTCTTCTTTTAGGTCTAAAATTCCTAATCTCCCAAATTTTTAGCTGTCCCTCAAGCTCTGCTAGAGAAGACCGCCTCACTCCATCTCCAGCCTGGGTCCCACTCTTACCACCCCAGTAGAGGACGAGGTCCTGCCCTCCTAGGCTGCTGTGCTTCACCCTGCAGGCCAGGCCAGCCGCCTCCCCAGCTGCCACATCCAGGGTTGCTCTGAGATACCACGTCCCATCACCATTGGGCAGGATGTCACCTCTCTGAGTGCCCAGCTGCTCCTGTTCCCCTCGAATCCACATCACCCACACGGGCTTTGGGTAGAAACCAGACACGTGGCACACCAGCAGCAGACGGCCAGGTCCAGGACTGGAGCCACTGGACAGCCAGGCCTCAGGCTTCACTGCAAAGAACAAAAAACACATCCAGACACAGACTCTAATATATACTGAGAGGTTCCTAACTCCACATGAGACTACATGGATATATCTTTCACCTTCTGGAAATGTCACACATTATCTTCTTTTTATCCTGAATTTGACTTTAAAATAGAAAAATTTTTTGAGATGTGATACAAGACTGACCTTGTCGCCGGAGATGAGCCTTCCCTGCATCTAGAAGACCCAAGGTGAAACGTGGGAAGGTGTCACTGAGGAGCAAATGTGCATAGCCTTGTACAAAGCCTTGGTCCAGATTGAACAGTTTGCAGAATTCTTGGGCCTTTATTCCACCCTCTGGAGATGGTAACCATGTTTCATTCTGGAAGCTCAGGAAATCAGATCCTTGGATAGCTAACTGCAGGAAGCATAGGAAGCCCTTCCCAGAATTCAGTTCACAGCCTGTAGCCATCTGCATATCAAAGGGATCTGGGGAAGAAGAGTCATGAATTAGAAGAGAAAAGGGAGAAAATGGAATAAGTGGAAGCAAAAGACTATAAAAGCAGAAGGGAGTTTGGGGAGTTTAGGGGATGGACCACAGTGTGGTTTGGTCTGAGGTTCACAGAAAGGGGAACTGGTAGGAGCTGGAGGTGGAGGAAGAGATGATAATATGAGGAAGGGAGGGGATTGTTCAAAGGTGATAGTGATGGTGGGGGGTGAAGGACTTCATGTGAGAGAGCAGAGACTCTAACTAACCAGGGTGAATGTATCCATGGTAACCATAGCAGTTTAGATGGGGATGACTGAAGAATGAAATGAGAGAGAAAGTCACATTTTAAGGAGTCAACCAAAGAGTGAGGAAGCGGAAGGCACCTGGCTGATTGCTGGGGAAAAGGGTGGCCACCGGATGCCTCTGAGGGGAGATAGTAACACACAGCCCTGCAGGCAATGAGGGAGCAGTTCACAAGTGGCAAAAACTGAAGTTTTTGAAGAATTGGGTTCTGGTGTATAGCACTTTACCAGGGTGTGGTTGCAGTTTTATGCTGAAGAGAGTGGAGTAAGATTGGAAACAGCATAGGCTGTTTACTACAGAAATAAGAAGTTCACTGAGGGCTGAGGATACAGCTCAGTTTATAGAGAGCTTGCCTCACATGCACAAGGCTGGGGTCAATCCCCAGCACCACAGATCAAAAAGGTCACTGAGACACCCCCCCCTTACCTTTCTTCTCCCCAGCAATGGAACTAAACTCACCTTCAAAAATGAAGTAATCAGTGTAAAATTCCTGAATTCCAATGAAGTTTTCCCAGAAAAAACTTTCCAGTTCCATCAACTCCCTGTTACTGAAGTTGCCCCTGGACCAGGGATACAGGTAAATGAAGGTATCAGAGCTGCTGTTCCAGCTGTGAATCTGCAGCTCCCCCAACCAGCCTGAGCTCAGATGTACCCAGGAATAGTTGTAAAACAATGACATCTGGAGGAGATGGTAGGAGACAGGCTCCTCAGACCCTGTGATGAAGAATAGACAGAATGTGGGGAATGTGACATTGGGAGAGAGAGACTGGGAACAGAAAGTTGCCAGAGTGGGAAGACTCAGAATCTGGAAAAGTGGAGAGCCACCGTTACCTTAGCTGACAACTGCTGGCCCCCAGGGTCCCAGGCTCTACCAACCAACTCCAGGAGACCACGGACGGCATCAGTAAGGACACACAGAATGGGGCCAGCTTGGCACTCATTCTCTCCAGGTATATGCAGGGGAAACTACCATCACCACACACACCACACACACACACACACACACACACACACACACACACAAACATACACACACACACAGACCTCTTGCCACAATTCTTACCATATTCACTGTCATCACCTGGGAAGAGAGCAGCTATCAAGAGGAGTAGCAGAAACACCATGGCCTTTGCAGATGCTATTTCGTTCTCTTAAGAAAACTTGGCCTTTGATTTCTGTTCTAAACAAACCTACCCACAGACCTCTCTTCTGACTTCCTTATTCAACCAACAGACAGACCTCTCCTGCCTAAAGCAAAGAAAATCTGTTTCCACCCCAAACCCTGACCACCTACTCAGTTTCCCATTTCCCCTGCTCTTCTGAGTCTCTGCCCAATCTTCCAAATTCTCTCATTGTTATGAAATTCCTTCCTGGTCATCTTCCCCTATTTCAACTTCAATGCAACATGTTTTATGTGGCACTGAAAAGATACCTTATCACTAGGCACTCTTCTTTCAGTGCCAGGTACTGATCCCAGGATCATCAGCATTTTTAGTTATTGAATAATTTTGAATTATCCCCCATGTGCTCTCTTTCCTGCCCCATCCCCCACTCCACCATCTTCATGTCGCTGACATCACTGGTTACTTATTTACTTCTTCAGAATCACTTTGGATTGTCCTCCACACCAGTATCAACTAATTAGTCTGTGGATCCTGTATCCAGGGCTGGCTCTGGGAGACATGCAGCCAGTCCAGTGATACACTTACTGCTCCAGGATCACCACCTTGAATTTTATAGTAATTTTTTGACTTTGTGTTTCATAAGCAAAGTTCAGTGGAAGTATGGGAGCTCACAGAGCCTCCCCAGCTTCTGTAGGATTCTCCCTCCCACAACCTCACCACAGGTGCAGCACCCTTCCACCTGCTCCTCACTGTCTGGGGCCCTGGTAACTCTACCCTATTCCTATGCACCTCCATCCTGCCACCACTGCACTGACCACGTCTCACTAAAGGCCCCATCTGCCATCAGCCTTGGTCACTGTCCCATGCCTTGCAGGTACAAAGGGAGAATGGCACATGCACCCAACAGTGTGTGGGCAGAACACAGGGGCAGCCATACCATCTAAAGTCTGCACCAAGTCATTTTGTAACTTGTCCACACTTATTCCAAGCACCAAATGCACCTTTATGTAATTTCATGTAATTTCAGTACTCAACCTGGTGCCAAGTGTGGGGAAGGTCAGTTCAAATTCCCACTTCAGTTCAGCAGAGGTAAGGATCATTTGAGCAGCTAGAGTAGCAGGAACAAGGTGGGGAAGCTTGCTTGTAGTCATGGACTAGGACACCCAGGTGTCTAAGTGCTCCTGCAATCGTCCTGTAAGTATCCTTGTGCCCAAGGCACATAACATTAGCAAGTCAAATAAAAACACAGAGACATAACCTTTCCTTGAAATAAGAAGTTTTTAATATTAGTACCTTTAAAAGCACTCCCTCCACTCCCTTTTGAGCATAAACCTTCTATTTTCTGAATCTTTATGTCTTCCCCAAATTCATTTACTGGAGTCCTAACCACCCATGGGATGGTATTAGGAGGTGGGGCCTTAGGGAGGTGATTAGGTCATGCTGTCTCCACCTCAGAAATGAGACTTGTGCCTTGTAAAGGGGACCTCAGAGACACCAAATAAACCTTCCATGATGTAGATCTATTTTGAAGGTGTCTTTGATGAACCAAAATGCAGGTCTCAATACAAACTAAATCTACTTGACCTTGGACTTTCCAGACTCCAGATATGTGAAAAATAATTTTTAGTGGTGATAATCCACCCACTCTATGGCATTCTGTGATATTAACTTGAATGACTAAGAGAAGGTTCTACATTTTCATTTTTCCCTGGATCCCACAAAATATATGACTGCTGCTCTTGAGTGTGGGATGGCAAAAGCAAGGAGAAGACAGTTGCAGTTGGACAGGAAAGAGAGCAAAGAAAATTAACTAAATAAGGAATGAGGTTCTGGGACCAAAAGGTTGTGAGATGATAAGAGAAAAGAAGGATATAACAGATGCAGGAGAAGGAGGAAGAGGGGTGTTTTAGTGAGCGTTTTTGCCTCTGAGACCAAAGGACATGACAAGAAAAATTTGAAGAAGGAAAATTATATTTGGGGTCTCACAGTTTCCAAGCTCTTAGTCCATAGATGGTCAACTTCACTCCTCAGGGCCCAAGGTGAGGCAGGACATCAACGCAGGAGAGCATGGCAGAGGAGAGCAGGTCTGGATATGGCAATCAAGAAGGAGAGAGAGAGAGAGAGAGAGAGAGAGAGAGAGAGAGAGAGAGAGAGAGAGAGGAGAGAGAGAGAGAGAGAGAGAGAGAGAG